TCCTGGGTATGTATGTCTCCTCTAAAGACTCTGTGTCCCTTGAGTAGGTTGTCCCATTCTCTAGTTACAGTGGCAGAAAGATGGCGGGTCCACTGGAATCTCACAAAGATCCACATCCTCCAATTTGGTGTCTATTAGTGACAAAGGTGATATTGTAATTCTCCTCCTGAGGACTTGTTTCTCAATTGATCCAGAACCCAGAGAGGGAAGATGAGAGCTATTTATTCTGCCCAATAAATGATATGAGAGCCTTTCTAATGAGAATGATTTGATGATGGGTTGGCTCTTTGTGTCTAGGTAACGAAGGGCTGCCCTGGAATGTGAGGGATACTTCAGCTAGAAAAGCTGGGAACCTAACTTCATAGCCATTCCTTTCCCTTTCCCTTTTACTTTGACTTTTAAGGGGATCTGTTTTTCTGGAAATTCTAAAATAAAAGTTCTTAATAAATGCCTGTAAAGGCAAAAAACTGAAGCCCGGAAAGGTGAGATGACTTTTCAAAGACCACATAGCAGACCTGCGACTAGGAACTCAGACCCAATATCACAGTCTGAGACCTTATTATTAACATCTACTAATAAAGGAAAAGTACAAACAACATCAATGACAACAGCAATTAAAGCAGTTAATATATCCAGAGTATTTATTCTGGGCCAGACACACATCTAAGTGTTTTGATACAGTAACTAATTCGTAAATCATTTTGTGTGACCCATGACGTACCTGATTTTGTACATGCTGCAAATACAGACGTGAATAACAGAGGCAGCCCTGTCCTTAAAACCTAGTAGGGGCAGTAGACAAACATAATGTATTAATGCTGATCTGCAAAACATTATTTACTTTATGCTGTAATACTTGCTCAGAGAAGCACAGACAGAATATAACAAAAGGCCTGAGACCTGCAGTGTAGGAACAAATCAGGATGTGGGCAGAGCAGGGAAGAATGCTCCAGGCAGGTGAAACGACATGTGAGAAAACCCTGCAGCAGAAAGGGACCTTTGCAAAAGCATGGCTGGAGGTGGTGACAAGAGATAAAGATGGAGACGTGGAATGAGACAGACCATGAAGCACCACAGAGGTCACCAAAGAATTTAGGGTTTTATCCCAATAGTGACTGAAATCCATTGAAGGGTTTTAAGCAGGGAAGTGGCATGATCAGATGTGTATTTTGAAAAAATTATATGCTAGTAATTTGGTAATGATAGGAAGAAAAATTTAGGTGTGTGGCTAAATTTCAGGGGGTGGGAATCAAAACGATTTGGGTTAAGATATTCATTAAAGTAGGTTGTATAAATGTGGGGAAATGAGTCTGTTGGAATTTCATTTTGAACTGTATGTACTCCATCAGTCAGGGCATCCACAAGATGTATGCATTCCAGGGCATTCTAGTAGTTTCCCTTACACCCGTTGATGAGAGGAGTTTATAACTTCACAGTCCAGAACTCTCTTGATTATAATGAATTTGGGAGGCATTAAATAAATTGGCGAGATCCCTTGTAAGCCAGTGAAGGTACTGTAGTAAGAAAAAGCAATGGAAAGAAAGTAATATTTCACCAGTGATCAGACTTGAACAAAAATTTCTTATTACCTAGAAATTAGAACTATTTACAAGTCATTCTTCATAGCATTCCTGCACAGAATCATTAAAAACTAACAGAACTTTCACATTCCTACAAAACACCATTTCAGTCCCACCATTTAAAAACTCTACTAACTCAGAGAGCCTATGTAAATTGCATACAGAACAATATTAGTCTAATATTCATACTAAGCAAAATTCTTCACAGACTCAAGAAGGGATTCCAACTCTGCAGAATGCTGTTGAGTTTCATGGCAATTAATGAGTTGCAAAACTCCCTCGTAACAAATTGTCTCCCTGAGGATTCATTAAAAGCCTCCCTAGAAAAGCAGGCTCTCTCATCCGACCACATTCCCTCCATTCACAGCCAGATGGTGAGAGTCACCCTAAGCCCCCACCACTGCTTTTTTGTTCCTTTCTCTCAGACTCTGGACAGTGTCATCTGTTCCCAAGGGTCTGTGAGTCATACAGAAACTAATGACACACACACACACATCTTTTTGGTGAGCTCTAACTTTTCTCTTTGGGTGCTATATTGCTCATCATTGAGAGTGACAGCTGTCCCCCACCTCTTTTCAGTCTAATATGCCCATGGCTTAGCTGGTGTGCCAGGGAGAGGATGTGCACCTCATCCCACCATTAAGGAAGCACAATGTGGAGGTGATAAAAAATGTGCAGTTTGGAATCAAGCAGACCCTAATGTGAATTCCAATCCTGGTACTTACTGGGGATTTAACTTTTGACAAATTCTTCACTTCTCGGAGCCTGATTTTCTATATTTACACATAGAGAAAAGACCAATCCCTCATGACTATTATGAGATTTAACTGAGATCTAAAATTTAAGATAATTACTGGCACATACTAATCCTTGAAAAATTTTTAACTTCTATCATCATCATAATCACCACCTTTTCTTTGTAACCATACATGTATACCCTGATTTCATAAAGTGTGTGTATGATAGGAGAGGTGAGTGTAGTGGGAAGCTTTTTGCTCTAGAAATGAGCAGAAATGAACTCTGGCTCCTTCTCCTGCCCCGCCAGCGATGTGCCGTAGGTAAGTTATTCAAATTTAAAAATCTCATATTTTTTATTTGTAATATGGAAATAACAATACCCATTGTATAAGTTAGTTTTGAGAGCTAAATAAGGTTATGTATGGCTATGTAAAGTCTGTATCTACATGTAAGAAAGTTCCTATTTGAATCAGTTGTTTAGGATGAAGAATGTACGTTTTCAAAGAAATGATATTGCAAATGGCTGTTAAGTTTCCAAGCTAGCTCATAGCCACACATTCACCTAAAGCATAGCTTAAACACCATGCATTTGCAATGGAAAAATTATTCCAAATCCACAGCAATGACTCCAATAATAGTCAAATAAAGTAGAATAAATAGGACTATACAGTTGAATAATGAAGCATGTTTTGTCTCAGGTGCTGATGCTGGAGGAAAGAAAATGTTGTAAGAGGTATTTGCAGAGACTGATGAAGATACTGAAATTGTGATGTCAATAAGGGGATTTTCAGATTGTGGAGAATGATGACTGATCCCAGCTAGCTTTTTCCAAGGAATCTTGGATAGTTTCTTTGTCTTTCTCAGTGTTTAAGGTGCAACATGAAACAGAGAGATAGACACATTTTCCTGCGGTAACAGGCAAGAATAAAAGATATCAGGGAAAAAATAGGAGGGCAAGAAAGAATATGGATACTCATGTGAAGGAGAACTACCTCAGGAAAAATTCCCAGAATTGTGATAAATGATAGAGAATTTGCAGATAAAGGAAAAAGAAAAAAATATGCTTATAACAGTTAACATCTACTGGGGGTTTACTATATACCAAGTCTTGTTCTAAATATCTGACATGTATTAAAGTTATTTAATCTCCACACTTAACCAAAAATGTGGTATGATTGTGGTTCTTATTTTATAGATGAGGAAACTGGGACCCAGTTATAAATACAGTAAGTTGTCAAATCAGGATCTGCACCTAGACAGTCTGGATCTAGAGCCCATGCTCTTGTGACCAGGCAGAAATATTGGGTCTGTGGTTACTTATTCAGGTAAAATATGGGTATCACAGATACATACAGGCAAATATGACAAAAACGAGTTTTTGCCTCCATGGAGCTCACAACTGAGCTCTTATTGCACCAACAGGGAGCTGTCTGCACAGACAACACTCAGTTGCCCAGCAACACTAGATGAAGGCACCACTAGCTTGTTCCAAAGGGGCAATCGTAGAGTCATTTCCAACTCTTCACTTCTTTGCTCTTTATGTCATTAACATCTCTCACTGGGTCCCCTCGTCTCTCTGTTTCAACATATGGGTATAGCCCCTGCTCAAGCTACGGTCAACTTCCTTCCTCCCCCCTCACCAGACTTCCTCCAGGCAGAACACCTTGGTCATCTTCAAAGCTGTTTCCATCAGCCCCAACAGTCCTCTTGCCCCTGTAACAACTTTCCTTTTTGTTGAGAAATTTTACACCATAAAGAGACTGTGTCCCTTTGCCTCATCTACTGAATATGAGTATAAAGATGATGACAATCTCTTTTAAGGTCAATAACCATCCTTTGGGCCAACACCCAGCAGCCTCACCTCCTTATAATTCCAAGGTGAACCTACCTATTTCTAAAGTGCTGGTCCTCTCAGAAGGGGCACCCTCCTATTATTCAAACTGATCTTGGGATCCAGGAGATCATTCGAATTGGGACTAGAGAGGTTGGCATTTGTTCCGTTAAAATCTTTCCTAAATATGTATCTAATCTGATGTGGTAAAATAAACAATGGCTTTGGAGCCAGACATACTTAGATCCAAAAGTGTGCCCTTCTACTCCCTAGCTGTGTCACTTTGAATAAAGTGAACCCCTCCGTTAAGTAGGGGTTAACACCACAGCTTGTACCACTGGTGCTGTTCTCTTTTCAAGCCACTCATCTTCTAGTCCTTATAAACATGATCTTTAGTCTGTGCTTTTTCTAAATGACAGAACTCAAGTTGAGCACACAGAGAAAAGGAAGTGTTGGTCATTCCGTTTTGCTTAAATGTTTTCAATCGATGCCTTGGGTCATTATAACTATATATCTATCACCCATTAAATTTATTCTGCAAACATTTATCAAGTGCTATGTCCCAGGCTCTAGTCAGGACACTGGGATACAGAGCCAACAAATTCCATAAATATCTATTAGAGCCACACTGCAACTCAGATCATATGACTTCATTGGAATGAGTTCATTTAATTTACTTTACCCAGTTGCCAGGACCTCAATTTTCTTTAAATATAAAAGCCAATTTGAGAAATGTATTTAGTAATCATACTGGAAAACAGTCACTGATGATCCTAAGGATCACTTCAAATAGCCCACTCCCCACAATCCTTTCTTCATCTGATTTGAGGGAATAGGGGATATCTGAGGATATGTGCCTATCTCTATGCTCCGTAATGTATCGTATTTATTTTTGTTCCTTAGAAACCATATGAAGTAGAAAATTTATAGATGGACAACCCAAAGTTCGGAAAGGGTAGTTGGGAAAGAAAGCCACCAAGCTGCTAAGCCAGGCCTCTCTAGCTGCTTGCACACTGTTGGTTTGTGATTTCAAAATGTAGATTCTACAATGGTACGATTTAGGGAGTTGGGGATGTGGCTTGAGTGTTTGAACATGAAGCTTTATGCTCACAATGAGTGGTTCCAAGGTCTCTTAATGGCAGAATAAAACTTCAAAACACTGAAAAGAGGAGATGCTGCTGCTTCCAACTATCACCTTTAAATGCTTTCAATTAATGCCTTGGATCTCTGCAGGTGGGAATCGGCAGATGAGGCGATCCATCTGCAGTCAGTAATCACTCCACTTTCCTGTCCTAGACTCCTGGCTAGTTGGGGCAATTAAAGGCATGCCCCTGCTGGGATTCAGGCTCAGTGATTCTTGCTGCTTACTTGCAGGAAAAAGCAGACACCTGTGTGAAAAAAATGGTACCTCACAGAAAAGCTCTCCCCTTTCCCTTGCTGACCTTTAGGCCTAAACCTTGTTGCCAAGCCTTTATGGAATATTGCTGTTATATAATGGCCCTACTAAGAGCCAGTTTCCAGGACAGGCGAAGGGAGCTGGAGAAATAGTAGACTTGATTATCAGAGAGAAGCTGGGACATTGAATATATCAGAGACAAAGCTGGGGATGGTTTCTCCAACATGATAAAGCTTGGTAATTCATTAGGTTGTGGCATGTCAACTATGGCTGCTCAGCAAATGAGCTCAAACCAGAAATTGAGAATTAGGGGGAAAGCCCACCAGAAAGATAGTGTAGTGACGATGATAGACATTTTCTAAATGTCATGGTGTACTGAGGGGCCATCATAAAATCCATAGCCCAGAGAGAGCATGACTTATGATGAGGAATATCGATGCAGGGTGAGCTCCGTAACTGAGCTTCGTTTAAAATGGGACAGTGCACAAAGTGAGGGAGCTAACAAAACTGTGTAACCATGCCTATGAACTCATATGTATGGACTTCTTTTGTCTCAGGCTTTATACCATGTAAAGCATGGAAGTGACTCACTCAGTGCTCACTCCAGTCCTGTGGGACAGTATGATCACTATTCCTCTTTTATTACTGATATGAAACTGAGACACAGAGAAGTTGAGCACCATGCCCCAAATCACTCAACCAGTAAGCAGAGAAGCTGAGATCTGAAGCCAGGAAGTCTGACTCCAGAGTTTGGTCAAAGCAGGGCCAGACTAAGATCCTGTTGTTGTAATCTCTATGAGGGTCACCTGTGCAGGCAAGACTCATCTATCCATGTTGCTGAGATGCTACTTCCCTCCTATCAGGCCTACAGACAGAGCGAGGTCATTGCCATGCTGCTTTCAAGATAGGCTGATGCAGTGAAGGATGCACCAAAGCATAAATTGGGAGACTGGAGTTCCAGTCTTAGTGTAGCCCCTTGCTGTCTATGTGTCACCAAATATATCACTCTATTTGACAGCTGTGATAACAGTAAGGATAATAGCACCTGGCCTGCTGACTTTAGAGAGCTGTTGTGAGGGCCAAATGAAGCTGCTGTGGAAAAGGGTTTTGAACACTGTCACACAACATGCAAATATAAGGAATATTTGGATTCTCTCTCAGCAGGGCCTCTGTGAGGTAGCTGCCAATGAAGGGTCCTGGAAAGGTCCTGGGGAGGGGGCAGCTCAGCGCGCCCCATGGCTTGCCTCCTGTGGTCAGTATCAACCTTTATTGAGATGTAGTTGCTGACTTGAGCCAGGGGCTGACAGCTCTGGGAGAAGGCCCGTGAGAGTTCTGACATTGGATGGCTATGTTAACCATCCTTCCCCACAAATCCCTTAATCTGCATGGCTGGGGCCTTGGGGCCAGGCCCTGCAGCTTCAGCTCCAGCTCAGGCCTGGGACCAGCCTAATAAGGTAAGTCAGAGGACTCTAGGAAGCCCTTCCTCTGGACCTCGATGATGCAGCAGTCAAATCGCCAGCTGCTCTGTTGCTCTGATCTCAGGCCCTCCTTCTAACAGGTCAGAGTTGCAGAGAGCAGAAGATATGGGCTTTAGAAACCTATGAATGTAAATTCTCATACCAGGTCTGCTATCAGGTTGGTTTCAAAGAAACAGTCCCAATTTTCTGAATGTCAGTTTTCCCTTCATCACGATGCAGAGATCAATAGTTGCTGCAGATCAAAGTAGTTTAGGGGATTCACAGTGGGGTCTCTGAAGATATTTAAGGAACGCTGAAGCTGGGGTCTGAAGGATGAGTGGAAGTTATCCAGGAGGAACAGAGGGAAGAGAATTTCTGAAAGAGGAAAGTTCTTTGTGAGCACAAGAAGCATGGTGTGGGGACTGAGCAAAAAAGGTGCAGAAAGAAAGACATGTCAAGTAATCAACTTTAAAATGTGCTTCAATATTATGATCTACTAGGAGAATTCAAATGAACATTAAGTTCTTCTTGGTTTTCTTAGGGCTATCCTCACTATCTCAGACTTACCCTTCTATGACTATGAGCTGGTGACACTGCAATGGAGATTCAGAGGCCCCTGCCATGTTAAGCCAAATGTCGCCTGTGTGGTCCTGTATTTTCTTCACTGCTTTAGAGACAAGAACTGGTAGAAAAGCTTAAGTATCATGGGACAAGTTTTGACTTCAACCTAAGAATTTAAAAACCAAGTATGATAAGTTTTTAGAAGATACAACTGCCCTTGCTATATCAGCAGCTAAAAAACAGGGATTAACTAAGAGATTTCTACACAACATTTATTAGCCTCCACACGACCCAACCACTGGAGGGTTTGAGGACTCTCAAATGAGCACGTGCAGCTGGTAGGAAATGAGCGGACGTCACAGCACCAGGCATTATCTGCAGGTGCATGGAGAGCATCAATTAAGTCTATGAGACAGGGTTTTGAGGACGGAGGAAGGGTTTTGAGAAACAGTTTCATTGTGAAACTAAGCTTCACAATGTCATATTGCTGAACACAGAAGAAAAGGAGAGGGTCCTTGATGTGAACAAGTAGCCTCTTGACTGTTTTTCCACAGGGCAAAATATCTCAGCTATACATATTGACTTATTTTTAGAGGCAGGTTTCAGTAAACATCTATACCCACAAAACCAGGAACAAAGCATCTCAAATTTACAAATTTCAAATAGAAAGCATCTGATTTAGCCTGAATGAATACAGATTTTCAGTCCCCTAAGCAATTTGTTTCATGTTGAGATTGCCTCATGAATAAAAAATATTTCGGAAACGATGGTTTTATTGCATCTCAGATATTCAATCAGACACAGGACAGGTGCGATGTGTATTTATTTTGTACTTTGGCTACAATATAAAGGACTCAAAAAAAAAAAAAAAAAGCACTGGCAAGTATGAATTGACAAGCTGAGGAGTAGGAGATAAGTCCTGTGTGGCATTTAGGTCTTGCCTTGAGAGTTCATGTTCTTCCTGGTCTCAGCCAGGGTGTTCATCACATCCACTTTTCTCCCCTCGCACCCTCATCTCTGTTGCCAATGTCTTGGCTTCCTTTGTGCTACTTTCTTTTTCTTGTTCGTTGTCCAAAAATATAGTTTTTAAGCTTCTCCAACCCACGCACCAGTACTCAGGGTGTCCAGGGCTTCACACAGTATGTCTTAGAAGATATTTATTGACAGGCGGCTTACATCACAGCCACGGCAGGACAAGCTCAGCAGACACTTCTCTAGGGTTTGGTTTGTATGAGGTATTGGGAACAGCACCTGAATGTGTGAGTCAGACCTGGTTTCAAATTTCAACTCAGGCATTTCCAAGTCATGTGACCTCTGACCAGCTCCATAATCTCTCTGAGATGGTATTGTTGTCTGTCAAATGGGGATAATCAATCCCATTTCACGGGATTGTTGTAAAACTTCTGTAATACCACATAAATCATCAGGTACAAGGCTGGGCATAGAATCGTTTTTGTTAAATATGAGCTATGACTGCAAATGAATAGCTCCTTTTTCTTTTTCTTCTCACTCAATGAAGGGTTTGATCTTGAGAATTTCAGAGGATGATGTTTCTGAAGATTGCTAAGATCTTAAAAAAACGTATATAAGATTTTTATCTTGTTAAGGTGGTTACGACTGCTTACAAAAGTTTAGCATATTATTTCTTCATGATTCTCATGCAGACATGATCTCTTGCATCCTCAACAATTCTTTGAGAGAATTACAAGTATCCACAGTCATCCCATTTGAGAGATATAGAAACTGAAGCACCGGGAAGGGAAGTGACTTGTTCAAAGTTACATAGTTGGTTCAGGGCAGAGCCGGAGCTGGAACTCCAGGCTTCTGAATCCTTAGCCATCATACTATCCTACCTCAGTTTGGGGAGCTCAAATGCCCTGTGAGTCCCTAGAAAGCAGCACTTGACCTGTTCTTGTTTGTATCCTGATTGTCAAGCCAACATCTTGGAACTTAGGAGATGCTCAAGAAATCTTTAATGAACGAATGACTCTTCTTTCTGGAAGCATTAACAGTGAACTACAGTGAATCCTACGTATGGAATCTATGGCTGATCCCAGGATTATTAGGCCAAAAAGTTCCATTGCCATGCAAGTAGCTTTGCAGAAAGAGGGCAAGCTGAACCAAGCACAGCTCATCTCCCAGACCAACAGGTAACCAGTTTCCTCTGCTCTTCCTATTCATACATCACCCTTTCTTTCCTAACGCTCTCTCCTGCTATGGCAAGCTAAAGTGTTGTCTGCCAGAGGCCTTACAAGGTTCCACATACATGAAAGGCACATTGAAAAAATACATCAGAAACATGGCAGGATTTCCGAAAATGAAAACACATTTAGAAGTCATCCTTCATTCTTTATTTTCTGTATTCTTTGGCCCGGCAGCCATTCCAATGCCTTTTCACTCATTTACAAGATCTGAAGCACTGAACAGAGATCTTCCTTTAAGAACAGTGCCTTGTGGGTCTGTCAGTCATTGTTGTGTACAAGAAATTTGGCTCGAGCCAGAAGCATATGGGCAGGCACTCAGTCAGCCCCTGACTCCAGCTCTGCCTGCTTGCCTAAGGTCAGACATGAAATGCTGCCTGCGAGTGCAGTTCTCCAGGAAGGCTGTCAAATCCATGTCTCCTGAGGTAAAGGCCTCCTTCCAAAAACACAGCACGATTCTTCTTGAATCATTTTTGAATACCTGGCTCCCTTGTTAACATCAATTTGTGTCATGCAGCAAGCAACCTTTCCACCATGCCCCGTGCCTGCAGATCTCTAATAAATTACCCAGAATCTAAAAACCTGGAGCTGTTTTGGTTTCCCATATTCTAAGACTTTATAAATCAGCCTATTCTCAGGTAAAGTACCACTCTACTTACTGACATCTCACTGCTCTTTCCAATCCTTTAAGTAACATTTTATTAGAACACTGAAAAATTAATATTCAAAGAAATTGAACTGTTTTTTCTCACCTCATAATCAAACTCTGGATCTAATACACAACGGACCCTGAGGGTTTTTAATTTTTTTTTTATTTTTTGGTTTTTTTGTGTGTTTTCCTATGCTAGACCATCTAAAATATGAGAGCAAGAATAATCTTAATCCATAAGAATTCTAGGAGTTGACAGTGAACCCCTACCTCCCTTAATTAAAACCACATTCCTTACTTTCTTTTACCCAAGAAAAGGGCCAGGAGGACAGGCAGCAGCAGCAAGCCAAGGCCCTGACCCTGTGTCTTTGCTTTCTGTGACATCTCCAGCATCTCCTCATTGGCTTGAGCTCTGCTAAACAGGCTTACAGTGGTTTAGATGCCATGGTTGACTCTGACCCCTGGCCCTCCCTTGGACCCTCCAGTTTAAGGGTGGCGTGTCTTCCTACTGAGGTTAACCTCTAGGTTAGACAGCTATCACTTGTTTGTTTCTTCATTTTTCCATAGATTGTCTAATTTATTCATTTTATTATATTCCTTCTATTTCAAATACTTACAATGGGTTTCTGTTTTACTTATTAGACCTTGAAACACATTGTATTTCATTTTATTTGCCTTCTACAAGATATTATGTGAAAATGGAGATTGGAGCCAGACATAACCTAGTCCAAATTCTGACTGATTCTGCTGGAAGAAGTAACCTAGCCTGAGACTCAGTCTTCACTTTCCGCATTGGTTAATTATAATGATATAACTAGTTTTATAGGATCATTACAGGGATTAAATGAGAATACGGATGAGTATAAATCCCTAGCATACAGTATCCAATAAAAGCTGAGTTTCTCCAAACAGTTCTTTATACACTTGATAGAATACTTAAACTCCAGTCACTCGACTTTCAGCACATTTTCCTATGTAATATTTTCTAATTCCTGCATGCATACCTCAACAGGTATCATTTACTGTTCTAAAATCCCTCTCCTCTTTTTTCCATCTTATGCTATGAACTAAATCAGGCCTCCTTGCCTTCTTAAATGAACTCTGTTTCACTCCCCGGACTCATTCATGCTATAGCTTTCAGGTGTTCAAAATGTACCAGTTCACCAAGCCCTCTTGCAATATGTTTTAGTTACTAATATCGCCTTGTTTTCTACATATCAGGTGTCATTTTGAGTAAATCAGTTGAGGATCAGAACTATAATTACTATTCATTTTCCCTAACTCATACATATACACATTAGATACCAAAAAACATTCAAGGAAAAAAAGAAAGAAAATTATGCTAGTTATTGAGTGAGATAAATATAAAATCAGGAGAATAGTGTTTGCCACAGTTTTGCCCCATGAACTGAAAACTGAGGATGAAAGGATTTTAGGTGCAAACACGTACTACACTAGGTGGGTGCCACAGCACCCCGTGTAAGTACTGCGCCTCACAGAGGTAGTTTTTACTGGTGAGGGCAAACTCAGTGCCAGGCTCAGGGATGTATCAGGCATGTGTGGGATAGCATGGTACTAACAGAAGACTTAAACAAGGTCCCCAGGACTCAGACGCCTTTGCTAAATTGAGGCATTGATTAGACATCTCCCAGCTCTTTCTATTGTCTAGTAAAGCAATAGCAAACGACCTGAGAATAAGAAATGTTATAAAGTATGGAGTCATTTGTGTTGGGAAACCTACTAAGCATCATAACCATGAGAAGAACCTGATGTAAAGTCCTTTTGGCATAGCA